CTTGCAGCAGATGCGGGCCGAGCCTACAGCGGCCGTGCCGGCACGCGAAGCGGGTCCTGGGGCCTGGGGCCCAGGGCTTAAGGTTTACGGTTTGGGGCTTAGGGTTTAGGGTTTAGGGTAGAAACACTTGTGTCCCAAAGCTACGCTGTGAGCCCTAGGCACTTGAGCCCACAAGTAGTGCAAAGCTTCTGTGTAGGTTGCCCTAAGAATTTCAGAACGGCATTTTCTAAAGCATGGCTCACAAAAACACAACGGCTTTGGGTTCTTAAGGTAGGGAGACAGCACTCTAAAACGATCTTGCGGTATATGATCGCAACATCAGCGATCTTTCAGCCCAAAGAATCAGTCAGAATAAGGTAAGCAACGGGGCTTTGGGGTAGGTGCAGACATCCTGTAGTAAAAAACGCCCAATCCCAAAGTAAACCCAAAACCCCACAGTAAACCACAAACCTTCAATGCCAGACCCTCAGCCCTAAACCCCAAACCCTCAACGCTAAACCCCAAACCCTCAACCCTGACTCTGAACTCTGTGGTGCTTTACTGTAACTTTAGATCCTTAGCCTTGTTGGGTTTAGTGGGTTTCTTAATAAGGCAGCTAAAATTTTAATTTTTAGATAGCCTTCTGAGTGCAGCCAAGTAAACTGACTGGCGAAAACCAGGAGAACCTGTGGACTGCGGCCGGGGATGGCGATATCGCACGTGTGGAGGATACCTGGACTTTTTGAGCTTCAGGGTTTAGGATTTAGGGTTTAGGGTTTAGGTTTTAGGGAGGGAGAACTTGGGGTCAGGGTCGAGGGTATCATGGCCAGTATGGCTGGGGGGAGGGTTTTACTTATAAAGGCCCTGTTGTTTTTGGATGCTTGCGGGTCAGAGTAATAAGGACCCCTGAACTTGGCTACACGTGTCATGTATCAGGTTGCATATTGTCGTCCCTTATAGCTCAGCTCGTACAACTCCAGACCCTAAACGGTCAACCCAGAGGGGGAGGGGGGGAGTTTGTGTAGTGGTCGGGGGTCGAAACCCTAAACCCTGAGCCTAAACCCAAATTCCCTAAACCCTAAACCCGAAACCCTAAACCCAATTTCCGGGAGGTGGGGTGGCCCTCGTCGTGTAGGGAAAAGCGCAGGCCCTGTGACTAAGCCGCTTTCGCGAAACAGGCTGTTCGAAGGTCCGGTGCCCCTTTGGGTTTGGGGTTTAGGGTTTAGGGTTTAGGGTGGGGACTGGTCTCTCTCTTGCGGGTTTTTGAGGGTTTTCTGCAGGTTCTTGTTCCAGAGCATCAACACACCCCCAGCTACTAGATTACCAGCAGGCGAAGCAGAAGCAGAGCGACACGTGGAACCCTAGACTCGAAACGCTGACAGCCCGGAAAATCCCAAATGGATGCTTACAGAGGGATTTAGGGCTGTAGGGCTTTAGAATTAGGGTTCAGGGCTAAAGGGCTTAGGGTGTAGAGGAAACCTCAACTGGCTGGACATGTTTTGTATCTCCCTATGGGGGTTTATACGACACGAGGATGCCCAGCAGTGCCCTTGTTCTTTTTTTTTTTTTTTTTTTGGGGGGGGGGGGGGGGGTTAGGTTCCTTTGTATACCCCTGTAAGCAAAAAGGGCAGTCTTTGTTATCTGGGCTACTGGGCAACCTGGGAGAAGCACTTCCAGATGGGTTACATGGGTCAACCTACCCCTTCCAGAAGCCACCTCCTCGGGCCTGTATAAATAGGGCTTTAGGGTTTCAGGGTTTTAGGGTTTTAGGGTTTTAAAATGATAGGGTTTCAGGGTTTTAGGGTTTTCGGGTTTTCGGGTTTTCTGGTTTTAGGGTTTTAGGGTTTTGGGTTTAGGGTTTTAGGGCTTTATTGTTTTGGGGAGTAGGGTGTAGGGTCTAGGGTTTAGCTCTTTTGCCTTAGTAACTCTACTTAGTACCCCCTAGCAACCCACCTTCTTAACCCCACTTACTAAGTCAAAAGGGCTTCCAAGTAGGGTGTACGGTGTAGGGCTGTACGGTGTAGGGCTTATAGTTTCAAACACAATTGAACAACTAGGTTCTGGAAGAATACGGACACCAAGATCCCTAAGTTCCCCAAGCCCTAAACCCTAAACCCTAAACCCTAAACCCTAAACCCTAAACCCTAAACCCTAAACCCTAAACCCTAAACCTAAACCCTAAACCCTTAACCCTAAACCCTAAACCCTAAACCCTAAACCCCCCAAAGAGGCAGCCGCAAGCTGCCCCACCTTAGACGTCAGGGCTTTTGGACTTGGGGTTTGGGATTTTCACCGGAAGACTCCAAGGACTCTTAGTTTTAGTGACGGTTTCTGGGCCCAAACGGCCTATTCATATAAGGTTTTTGGGCTATTTTGAGCCTGAGGGTTAGGATGTTTAGAGTTTTGGTATGGGGTTTCTCGGGGTCAGGGTGAGGTGTTGTGGATTGAGAATGGATCGCTGGGTCGGCAGCTGTGTTGGGCTCTGTACGCCAGACTCGTCAGACCTTTGCGAGCTCCAAGTTTCCTCCCTAAACCCTAAACCCTAAACCTAAACCCCTAAACCCCTAAACCCTAACCCCTAAACCCTTATACCCTAGGGAATTTCGGGGTCTCGGGGTTGCGGGGCTGATGATTCGGGATGCTGCGTGTCCACATGCTCTCCGGCGAAGCAGTGAGCATACCGGCGAAGGAGGTGAGCAACGTCAGGGCCGTGAAGCTGAGATTGCACCACCCTAAACCCTAAACCCTAAACCCTAAACCCTAAACCCTAAACCCTAAACCCTAAACCCTAAACCCTAAACCCAGATGCACGGCGCACCCCCGCGCTTCAGGCAGAGGCTCGTGCAGAAGGGAGCCAATCTGGAGGATGCTGACGAGCTGGAGTCTGCCCTGGAGCTGAATCTCGTTCCTCGGCGGCCAAGTGAACCCTGATAAGGTTTCTGTTGTTCGTTCATGAAAGCTCTATACCGCAATTGAGATGGGTATGAGTATCCCGATTTTTGGTTCGTTTCGTCCCTGAGGTCCTGCAATCTTTCTCCAGCGCGTCCCCGACACAAGCCGAGGAGCTTGTAGATGCTGCAAGCCATGGCTTTGTAGATGAGGCAGGCTTTCCCAACCCCCTAAACCCTAAACCCTAAACCCTAAACCCTAAACCCTAAACCCTAAACCCTAAACCCTAAACCCTGACGCCCCCCGGTCCGACAACCCCAAGACTCCGATCAAGCGTGTTATTCCCATCTCCAGGTCGAGTGCATGCTTCAGCTGCCACTGGATCCTTGGCAGCCCCAGTGGTACCCTTTTGGGGGTTTAGGGTTTAGGGTTTAGGGTTTAGGGTTTAGGGTTTAGGGTTTAGGGTTTAGGGTTTAGGGTTAGGGTTTAGGGTTTAGGGTTTAGGGTTTAGGGTTTAGAGTTTAGGGTTTAGGGTTTAGGGCAGCCCAATGGTACCCATTACCCTTTTTTTTGGTTCCAGGTTCCCTGATAAAGCAACCAACCCGGGTACCCGTAGTATCGGCTACCGGGGTACCAAGGATCCCGACCTGGTCAACGTATTTGGCCAGAGCCCGCTGTTTTGCGCATCCGTCAACGGACACGTTGAGGTCGTGCGGCTCTTGGTGGAGGCCGGGGCGGACAAGGACTTTGCCTACAACGGCGAAACGGCCCTGACATGCGCGTCTCAGAGCGGCCACGCTGAAGTTGTTCGTTTGCTGGTGGAGGCTGGGGCCAACAAGGACTGGGCCAACAAGGAAGGCGGCGGCTACACCGCCCTGATGCACTCAGCTTCCAATGGCAACTTTGAAATCGCACGATTCCTTGTGGAGGCCGGCGTTGATAAGGACGCGGCCAGCGAGGATGGCTGCACCTGAGTAGCTGAGTGAGTACACTTTACACTTTTTGGGATACTATAATCCCCTACAGAACTGAAAGTGTACGGGGCCTGTGAACTCAGCAACTAAGGCACAGCCCTGATGTTGGCAGCTAATGGTGGCCGCGTGGAAGTGGTACGATTGCTGATGGAGGCAGACACCAACGCGGACTTGAGCCTGAGTGGCAAAGCCCTGATGCTCGCAGCTGAGAGGGGCCACGTTGGAGTGGTGCATTTGCTGTTGGAGGCCGGCAAGGCCAAGGACTGGGCCAAAGAAACTTGCCTGGTATGAGTTTGCACAGCTGGCGGGGGCATCGTGAGCATTCGCCAAAGGACGGGTTTTTTTCGTGATGGCAGTGCTCACATGCTGGCTTCTGCCCATTAATTCGTGCTGCTGCTCGCTGCCACCGTGTCATTGTGAACTGAGATCAAGTGGAGGCAGTCCTAGATCAGTGTTAGGGATCCTTTTTACTTTTTGGGTTATGGGCTTTCTTATATATGGGTGGTTGTCAAAATTATGATCCCTTTTTGGGGTACCCTAAATATTAGGTGCCGTATTATAATAGGGACCCAAAAAGGGACCATCATTTTGACAACCACCCATATGAACAAAAAGGATGTTTTTTCTTCCTAGGGGAACAAGAGTCGTGTAGGTTCAATTGGCATGTACGGGCTGTAGATGCCAGAGAAGCTGAAGCAGGCAGCTGAGTGAAGTCGTGCCTGGCATGCGTTGTCAAAACATGGTTTGCGGCGCCTTGAGGGGTACCCGTAATATGTACCTCAAAAGAATGTGATCATCCTCATCCTGGCAACTCCCAAACAGACCAAACACCCTTCTACGTATGCCCATTACGGGACCTTGAAAAACATTGACTTAGGGCTTAGGGTTTAACTAGGATTTACGGTTTAGCGAACCTCAACCCTAACAGACGACGTGGCCAATGTTGTTACAGAAAGACATTTCATTACTTACCGTTGTTCGCTCATGGCTCAAGAAAAAGGCGTGTGCACGTTTCCCTAAATATTGGGGCTGTCTGCTGGTAACAATAGGTTATCAGCCGTAGTACCACGCTAGTTTGACCACTCTGTGATGACGGACCAAGCTCCGCTAGGTCCTGCAGGCATACCAGTCCCGGACGACGGAGCGAGCAACCTGAGCATGTCCTTTGATGGTAATGCTCCAGGTGAGGACGCCGCTCCCCGGGAGGGTGAGCTCCCGTTGACCACAACCGCACTAAGGCTACATGACCATAGGCTCTTTCAGAAGGGTGCAGTTTCCGAGGCCGGTGTCACCACCGGTGCCTCGAGCCGTCAGACTGCGTCCGCGCCTTGGCAGGTTGTGTCCCCTAGTGCTAGACAACCACCGGCCAGCCTTCCGATAGCAGCCGGAGGAAGCTCATCCCAAGATATTAGTCCGTCAGCCCAGAGTCTTTTCCAACCGACCTCCTCGACTATGAACAGTTTGACAATCGGCGATCAGCGAATCCTGCAGAATCAAGCAAACATTAGCAATGTGTTTGTTCAGAACGACAGGTCGCCGTTACTCGAGCAAATAGCTGAACATCGCCACAATCAGATCATTGGTCAGATCGCAAACAATTTTCAGGAGCAACTCCAAGCAATGGGTATGAATGTCATGTCGGGAGTGTCACAACTCAGAGTTGAACTTGCTCAGGCCGAAACCAGATTAGGTAGTGAGGAGACACAGGCCAGACAGAGATTGGCAACAGGTCAGTCGCAGCTTGACTCGCAGGCCAATGAGATCAACGTGGCACGAGGTGAAGCTCAAGCTTTGGCCCAAAGACTAAGCGCTGCTGAGAGCCACGCTGACGCTACCTACGCTAGGTTGCGTGATCAACTTCACCAAGCGGAAGCTAAGGCCGTCAGCAACGCGGATCTCCTCAATGCTGAAATGGACAGTGCCCGTGTCGCCGCTGCTCAGGCAACACATGCAGTTCAGGCGACATCTGAGGTTGAGATTTCACGCTTGACTGCTGAAGTTAGGGATTTCAGGGTGATGATGAGTCACGAGTCAGAGAAGAGAAAGATGGCTGAAAAGGAGAATGCTGAACTGAAATCGCAGCTAAACCAGGCCATCGCGGCTCTGCAGGCTCATGCAAGCGCAACGGGGTCCGCCCCATCTGCGCCACCGGGTCTGATCCCTACCTATCCCATCAATACTCCGCCTCAGGACGCCAAAGGGTCAAGGCCCCGACGCCACCCTGACGGGGGAGGCCCTGATGGAGATGATGACGGCAGCGATGATGATGACTCGAGCAGCAGTCATAAGAAGAAAAAGAGCAAGAAGAAAGACAAGAAAAACAAGAAGAGGGATTCCAGTTCCTCTTCTGATCTCTCGCCCAAGCAGCTCAAGGCAATCATCAAGCAACTTGCCAAAGGAAAGACTAACGAGAAGGAGGAAGTTGATGAGGATGTAAACAAGACCAAATCCAAGGAGGCCGAGAAGATCCTGTTCCCCAAGTTCCCGACACCTGAACAGTACAGGAACTGGCGAATTAGGGTTCGTGAAGCTGTAGTTGCAGCGTCCAATAAGCCGGATGAAGCTTTTGAATGGCTTTCGAAGGTATGGGACAAGGACTCTAAGGAAGAAGAGTTAAGGGACACAGGTGGCTTCTCTACTCTCGATGCCAAGGTCTTGTCGGCAGTGACAAATGTCCTTGAAGGTGACTTCGCGCGCCAAATGGACACCCTCAAGGAGAGGGAGGCTCACGCCGGGAGGCTAGTGAGGGGTAGACAAATCCTGTTTCTCCTTCATCAGCACTTTGCTACAAACATCCTACACAATTCCGTGTATGACATGGAAGACCTCCTTTCAGTGACATTGGTAAACGAAAACCTTGTGATGTTCGTTAGGAACTGGGATACGGTGCTTTCAGGCATTCAGACCACCCCTGAAGACAAGGTTCTCGAACCGCTCTTTCATAGGCAGGTAAAGAAATGCAAAGCACTTCAGCACGATATTGCCATCTATGAAAGGGCTGCCGAAGGCTCCAGTGAAAGATCGTTTAAATTTCTCTACGACGCCGCCAATAGCCACTTGAATCGAAAAAGGCTCGAGAGGAACCGGGAGCGGATTGCCAGGCAAACTGGAGCTCCTGCTGTTCCTACTGCGCCTGCACCCAAGAAAGTACCCAAAGGGTTTTGCATCTCTTTTGTCAAGAACGGCAGTTGCAAGAATGGTGGCAGTTGTAAATACAAGCACCAGACGCCCAGCGGACGTGGCAGATCGCAGTCACCCGGCGGAGGCCGAGGGAGAAGTCCTTCAAGACCCAACTCCCCGTCAGGAAAGCCTCGAGTGTGCAAGTTCTACAAACAAGGTCGTTGCGACCGTGGAGAGAATTGCAAATTCATGCACACCGGAAAGCCAGGTGCCGCTGCTACACCCGACGGAAGTCAGAAGGGATCTGCGCGCCCTGACAAGGGCAAGGACAAGAAGAAGAAGAAGGAACGCAAGGGCTCCAGGGCTAGCTCCAAGGGTTCTAAGGGAAGCAAGGGTTCGAAAGGATCACATGGCTCCGGGAACTCGAAGGGCTCAGCTCGAAGGAGGAGTGGCGGACCTTCTCTCCCTGCAGCAGTTTGCCTTCTAGGAGCAATGATGGCCGGCACGGCTTCCCAAGCCGACGCTTTTACTCTCCGGAAGGATGAGTCGTACTGGCCCCCTCAGTGTTCCACTGACATGCGTTTGGCGCTACCAGCAGTGTCTTTTGACAACAGCCCAATGTACATCAACTTCCCACTCAGAGATGGAGAGCTTAAGTTCCCTGTTGAGAATCCTCAGCGCAGGTATGACAAGAAGTGGTCTGTTGACTACATTCCCAAGCCAGACAATCAATCCACCAGAGATGCACTTATGGCCGCTCGCATGTTGAGAGCTACGGTCAAAGACAGTCTGGAGGACAAACCAAGCCGTTGCAATTACTGTTGCGATACGGAGTTTGGTTGCAACTATTGCATTCCAAAAGGGTTGAGAGTGTCTTGTCCCGCTAAGGTTCAACTATCATCAGAATCGCCACCCATCGAATGGATTGGTGACACAGGGAGTGCTCAGGATCTCATCTCAGAGCGGGAGCTTGTGAATCTGCATCCGTACGAATCGGACTGCCCAATCAACATTTGCACTGCGAATGGACCGAGTTACGCAGGCACGCAATGTGATGTAGGGATACCATCCCTCAACAGCATAGCCAAGCCTTATGTTCTCCCCGACACTCCCAATGTTCTTTCAGTAGGACAGAGATGCATGGATCTGGGTTACGACTTCATTTGGAAAGGATTTCAGAGACCCTATTTCAGGAGTCCGGGAGGTGACAAGGTTTTCCTTGATGTGAAGGATAACGTTCCGTACTTGAAGTCTTGGAAGGAGGGTATCGCTTGTCCTGCCCATTCAAGACACGAGTCCACTCGGATCGATACGGATGATGCTGTTGAGACCATCACCAACCCTGAACAGATTGCCGCGCAACTTATCCAGGAGCAGGATTTCTCCCATCAGGCATGCTTGCGATTGCTGAAGGACTCAAACTTTAAGCAATCTAGGTTCAACAGGAAAGCCATCAAACCGAAGGACAGTAAGGACTCGAAGTACATGATTTTCGGGGCTTTTTCACATGGGGGGATGCAAGGGATAACCAATCGCACTCATTCCTACCCCAAGGTGATTAAGTACCTTCTGTCCTATCTTAAACATCATGGAGCGGATGGCCCAATAACATCGATTGCTGTCAATCAGAACTCAGGCGTTAAAATGCACAAGGATGTCAACAATCACCGTGAACACCTCAACTACACCATTGCAGTCGGCGATTTCACCGGAGGCGAATTGTGGATTCACGATGACACCATCCGGAAGGATGAGCCAGGTTGCATCAACAAGATCGCCCCCACTGGTGCCAAACTGGGAGGTCGTTTGCACAGGTCGAAGTCGAAGATCATTTCCTTCGATCCAAAGACTTTCCATTGCGTCACTCCCTGGAAGGGCGAGCGTTGGAGCATCACGGGATACGTCAATCGCGCTGTGCACAGGCTGGATTCGCATCAGCTAGAGAAGCTTAAGTCACTGGGGTTCTTGCTGCCGAAACAGAAGAACTTCCCTCCAGCAGTGCCTGCGGAAATCGATGAGGAGATGACTCTTTACGAGTTAGCTACTATGGATCCTCCAGCTCCGGCCCCAGAACCGAAAAGCAAGCCTAAAGTGAAGTTGAAAAAAAAGCCTGAGGAACCCTCAGACAAGAAGAAGATTGCCAAAGAAGCCTCCAAAGCCGAACCACCTTCGGATGAACCAGATTGGTCAAAAGTCGAGGGGTTATTGAAAGAAGCTGTTGCCCCCATCCCTTCATCTCCGGATGAAGAGTTCCTTGATAAAACGGAACTGATCAGGTCGCCGAAACCCGATTCAGGTGAGCCGAGCGTCCTCCCTCCTCCTCCGGAAGGAGAGAGGCATGCTCCAGATGGGGATCCTGGTGAGGGTAGTGGTGGGGAAGGCAAGAGGTCGAGGCGCATTGAGAATTTGAAGAAAGAAGCCAAGTCAGCGGCGCATCTCATGACGCACCTTCCCAAAAATCCATTCTGTGATGTTTGCCAAAGAGCTAAGATGTACAAGCCGCCTTCGTACCAAACGGATGGCTGGCACAGCGTCGAAGCTAAGGCGTTTGGAGACCATATCACTGCGGATCACATCATTGTGTACCGTGATAGGGATACGGTTATAGAAGAATCCAGATTGGCCCTCGTACTGAAGGATGTTGCGACTTCTTTTACGTATGCCTACCCTTCAGCACTGAGGTCAGAGGATGAGTGCATTGCAGCATTGCAACATTTCGTTTCCTCCTCTGACGAGGTAGGGGTATTCTACAGCGATCAAGCTAAAGAACTCATCTCTGCCGCCAAGTTCTTAGGTTGGAGACATGAACAATCCAAAGCGTATATTCATCAATCCAACGCGATCGCAGAACGCGCAGTGCGCGCCACCACCGAGGGTACTAGAAGCAATTTGCTTCAGGCCGGGCTCTCGCATGTGTACTGGCCACAGGCTCTCGAGCATGCGTGTACCGCTGTGAATATAAGTAACCCCCATGGGGCGAAGTTTACACCGTGGTTCAAGCGTTTCGGGAGCCAGTTCCCGGGAAAGGTCATTCCCTTTGGTTGCAGAATCGACTATTGGGTTGGACCCAAGAAAAAGCGCAAGAATCGTGAAAGGTTCGAGCCAACTGCTGAACCAGGTGTTTTCGTGGGATATCATTTTCAGCCGGGCATGAAATGGAAGCACGAGGTATTGGTTCTTTCACTGAAAGAGTTAAATCGACAGGACTTCCATGAATGCATCAAGCCCATAAGAGCATACCAGTTCAAGGTGCCTGAAGGTGATTTCACTTTTCCCATGAAACAGAGGTACGAACGTGTGCAACAAGGTCTCGCTGCCGATGCCCTCGAGCGACCAGCGACGGAGTCACTCCACAATCAGGACGCTGAGCCCTCAGCTGAACAGGCCGCTGAAGCTTCTGACGCCGACCGGAAGGTTGAGCCCCCTAAAGTTCTTCACCCCAAAACCGGCAAGGAGATTCCTCTGCCGGAAGGTGGGAGGTACTATGATTCGGGGGGTACACTAGGTCGTCGCTACGGGGGGACTAGAGGTTCTAGAAAGCCGGACAGCATTCCGAGCGATCTATGGGTCCGTCTCTCTAAAGCACAAAAGGAGAAGGCCATTGATGATGAGGCTCGAGAGCAAGCTTTGAGAGATCTCGAGGCCCGAGAAACTCCCTCATCAAGTAGCAGCGCCAGGCCATCTGCAGTAGCTAATCCGGTTAAAGATGAATGGACAATTCGGGGGGATAAGCTCATCCGCTTTCACTACTCTCCGAGACGTGAACTGTTCTCCCCTCATCTCACTGATTGTCCTGTTCCTATCTCCGCTCTTGGTAAAGAGAGATTGACCAAAATCATGCCAATTGGAGGTAAGGACATCATAGCCGATTGTGATGAATGGCGTCATGTACGCAAGCGCAACAAGAAGCTCAGCTTCAAATGGGTTGGTCGTACTGAGTTCGACATCCTTACCAAACCCCACACTTCGGAAGAAGCTGTTAAAGATTTCCCATGTATGCCTACGGTTCCCATGTCCAATCATCAACATAGGGACAAGATCCCTGTTTCCCGCGCTCTTACTGCCGAGCAAGTTCAGGAAGCTATGGCTATGGTTGCCAGGCCAGTAGGAAGAAAAGAGCTGTTAGCTGATCCTCAGGCCCAAGCTTCTCTTGACGTTGAATGGGAAAAGTTGATGAAGAAGAAAGCCTGGGACATGTCATCTGTTCGTGAATGGGAAGAAGTCTCTAAAGAGGCAGCCAAAAGAGGAAAGAAGGCCCACGTTGGCAAAATCTTTGAAATCTGCGTGGAAAAGGGCAGTGAGCTTCCTAAAGGGAATCCCTTACGGAAGTTCAAGGGTAGGACCGTCTTTCAGGGCAACAATGTGAAGGACGAGAACAATGACACCGCTCTCTTTAGTGAGCTGGGCTCTAGTCCCGCCACCATGGAAGCGGGTAAGGTTCTCGACGCCTATGGCCATGCCCCCGGCCACGATGTGGAACAGGGGGATGGTAAACAGGCGTACACGCAAACGACTCTGAAAGGCGCTGACACTTGGGTCAGGCTCCCACGTGAGCGTTGGCCTAAGGAGTGGGTCGGCAAGTTTAGGGACCCCGTCGTCCGCCTCAGATTGGCTCTTTACGGGCACCCAGACAGCGGGGGCTTCTGGGAGCAACATTGCGAAAAGCGCTTGCGGGAGGTTGGTTTTGAGCTCGTGTTTCCCGCTGCATGGCCATCTGTCTTTTATCATCCCACATTGAAGCTTTTATTAGCCGTGTATGTAGATGATTTCAAGATGGCCGGGCCAAAAGAGAACCTAGCCAAGGGTTGGGAACTCATCGGCTCTCGCATCGATATGGATACACCTACTCCCATCGGAAGATATCTGGGATGTGAACACTTATCTCAGTCTTCATCGCTTGGAAACGCCGATCATCCTTTTGCGCATGTCTTCGACAAATCCCTTCCTGATCCCGCTGCCAAACCTGCCACTGCCGCAGCCAAAGAAGATTTCACCGAATACTACCCTGAAGAAGGGATGGTTGTCCGACATCACGTTCAGCCCCGCAAGGCGTTGTTCAAGCCTCGCGCGGCGGAAGCCGTCGCACTTGACCTTAGTCCGCACAGACTCACATTGATGCGCCCTCTAGGTTCTGAGGCCGCGCCAGACGAGCTCTGGGACACGGGGGGTGCTAAGCACAAACGTGATCACTTATGGACAGGTGCTACTTATCTTGCCGCCAACGGTCACACCGAGCGTTCCGCAATGGCAGCCGTGAAAAAGATTAGAGACAAACTTAATGCCAAGAAAGCAGCCCGCAAACACGCTTTCTATGATGTCAATCAGTTGAGTGATCATCAGGGTTGTATGTATGCTAAGACCAGACAAGTCGTCTATGACATGAGTTCCTTCTTGCAGCAGGCCATCGACCGCTACAAAGAACTCGCTGGTCCCGAGTGGCATAACCTTAAAAAGGTATCAACGCCCTTCTATGATGACAAAATCGCTCGCCCCACTGACGCGGAGGCTGAACCCAAAGGCAAGCTTGCTCCTATTGCGAGTCGTGTGCTCATGAAGTTGCTGTTTGCAGCAAGGATGGCTCGTTATGACTTATTACGTGCTGTCCAGGGTTTAGCTAGCCGGGTCACTAAGTGGTCTGCCGACTGTGACAAGGCACTGCACAGACTCATGTGTTATGTGGCGTCCACTCTTGACCATCGAATGACCTGCTTTATAGGAGACTCCCTTGATAAGTGTAAGCTCTGGCTGTTCGCTGATTCTGATCACGCAGGCGAACATGACAACAAAAGCACTTCAGGAGGTTTCCTCGCGTTGGTAGGACCCAACACCTACTTTCCCTTGTCCGCTTTTAGCAAAAAGCAAACGAGCACCGCGCTTAGTTCCACTGAAGCAGAAGTCGTATGTGCGAACGTTACTCTGCGAGCCTTGGGTCTTCCTTCATCTGCACTATGGAGCGTGCTCCTGAACGCGGGGGGGGATACAGCTCCCAAGCCTCTTCGTAGTGACATTGCTAAGCACGATTTCAAACCCAAATCTTATCCTTTCCAGGGAATCTCGACCATCAACAAGACAGGACGTCATCTCCTTGCAGACGGAAGGATTGTGGAGTTTTTTAGCAAAAGTAGCTCTTTACCCTTTCCCGTTGAGCTGACTAGTCACCCTATTAGGGATCTTTGGTTACTCCAAAAGGGGAAGTGGACTTTGCATCAAAGGGCGGTTGCTTGGGAAGAATTGGATCATCGTTGGAAGCATCCTTGTCGGCGCCGGCCTCCACCAGCAATCGCACGACTTCAACATGGTCACACGTAGCCGCCATCATTAGGGCTGCGCGACCATCGTTGGAGGCTATTTCCTTGCCGGCGCCGGCCTCCACCAGCGAACGAGCGACCTCAACATGGCCACTCATAGCCGCTATCATCAGGGCTGTGCGGCCATGTTTGCTGGCAAGGTCTTTGTCGGCGCCGGCCCCCACCAGCAAGCCCACGACTTCAACATGGCCCTTGTCAGCTGCCACCATCAGGGGTGTGAGGCCATCGAAGACGAACGCACTCTGCCTCCAGATGATTTCGAGTATGGCATCCTCGTGTATAGAAGGTCCACCGCAGAATACCGCCGCCACGCGGAAGCGGAGGCCATCCTTCAGAGGGAAGCCGAGGGCATAAGGGGTTCGGGGGGTGGTGTCGATACTGAGGTTGGAGTCACTAGGAAACCTTGCGACTTCGGACTAATAATGTCTGTGCCTCATTCGATTCAGCCAGTTGTCTTAGAGGATAATCAGGCCACCATCCGCATCCTAGAGTCTGGAAAATCCCCAGCCTTCCGTCATTCTGACAAGACTCAAAGAATCAATTTAGGATGGATCGCAGAGCAGTTTCGTAGGAAGCACTATGACCTTGCTTACATCAACACCAATCTTCAAGCTGCTGACATCCTTACAAAACCCTTTACCAATGCTGAAAAGTGGCGAAATGCCTTGCTATTGATGGGAATCACTCAGCGGAAGCTCGAGAGCCGTAAGGCTACACCGGCCAGCGTTCCGCCACCCGCCGTTGCGAGCGACTCGAGGCCCGACAGCAAAACGAAGCGGGTCATTATAGAGGTTTGCTGTAGTGATGACTCCATCATTGGGGAAATAGCTCATCATGAGTTTCCCGAGTGTAAGGTAGTTAGAGTCACCGAAAGCATGGACCTTAACTCACCAGATACCCGTAGAGCCATCATCGACATTGCTAAAGAACACCACCGAGCTGGCGCTCGTGTTCTAACATGGGTTAGCTTGCCTTGCACTGGTGGCAGTCAATGGACTAGAATCAACCTTAAGGTTCCCAAAAATAGAGATGCTGTGCTTGATGCCAGAAGAAAGTTCAAGAAGTTGTGGGCATCATTCGTTGATCTTTCTCAGGGCCTTGATAAGGCGTCCGTCGACTACTGTGTTGAATGGCCAAGGGACTGTGAGTATTGGGGATGGGACAAAGTGAGGAAGTGGCTTGATAGGCATCCGTTTGTTTATGCCAAATTTGATGGTTGCAGGTTCGGATTGCATAACAAGAAGGGTGTTCCCGTGAAAAAGCCGTGGTGTGTTGCCACTACCCTTCAAACAGTGTACAATCGTCTCAATGACAAAAAGTGCACTCGTAGCCACGAGCATGCTAAATGCCTGAAGGAATCAGAAAATTACAGTAAACCTCTTGCACGGGCTATTCACAAAGCCTTTAAGGAAGTGAACTCCTCTGCAGCGGCTAGATCAAGCTCCCCTGTAGTCCCAGCGTGCCCAGCCATCATCACCTCGCCGACCATGACCGAGTTTCTGACTGACGAGGAACGCCAGCAGCGTGTCGCGGAGTTCAAGCAAGCGCTAGTGGACCCCGACCGCCTGGCTGACGCCATGGCTGGCATCCTTCTTCCACCGAGTTTCAGTGACCTGGCGGAAGCTGTGGTTGAGCCACAGGATGACGATGCTGACGACGACTTATTTCTCGGCACAATTCCCATCTACCGCTGGCGGGAGCTGCGTGAAGAGGACCCTTCGTCCCATTGGACGGTGCTTTACGAGCGATTCTATCGCAAGCACGGAGTCCGTGTGTTTTCGGAGACCGAGATTGATGCCTCCGTGCTTCGTGACTCCACCCTGGGGGGTTGGATACAGATCCTTTACCGACATGCTCAGGATCTGGCCACCCTGGCGTTTGGACCGAAGGCGGGCGGTGCAATCGATTCCACTAAGCACTATGACATTTGCCGCAGAATTGCCAATCTTAGCGTAGGCGCTTCCGACTTCCAGTATTTTGCGAAGACTTCGAGTCTTGTCGAGAAGCTCTTTACTCCTGCCCTTCAGCGCATTTCACTCCCTCCGGAAGAGAGGCGACGGTTCTTGATCGTCGGAGACTCTTCCCTTGCGTTGTGCCATTACACGGGGCGGAAGCCTACGCACCGCATGACCATTGAGCCGCTCATGCAAGACGTTTTCAGGAACAATCCAGAAGTGGAGAGCCTAATCTACTCAATGAAGTGGGGGTATCACCTCGACCAGCTCATCGATGAGGCGCTCAAGCACCTTAACGAGGCGAGGGATCACCACCCGGAAGGGGCGGCTACCCACATCATTTTTGGATGGTCAGGAAACGATGTATGGGGCCAACACGGCTATCATGGCTACACTTGGCATCTTCAGAGCAAGTTCACAAAGCGAACAGCCGAGGAGCTCGAGCAGATTGACACTTGGCCTGCAAAGCAGAAGCTTCGTGTTGATCGGGCGTGTGAGAGAGCGTGCAAGCTCCTCCACCGGACTGACGTCTCGGGTGTGTCTTTCTTGATGGGCAGCCATCACTCCTGTTTCTTCCCGGTCGGGGAGCTCTATGACAGGTGCATGAAGAATCACGCCCGAGATCTGATGAGCGGAGGATGCACCATCATTGACCCTGTGGAGCTCTATGAGCAGACCAGCAGGCCTGATGGCTTCCACGCTGACGCGTCGGATCAAAATCTGCAGAGCACCCTTAGGTGGCACGCGGCGATGCTCCGCGGCATACTCACAGATTACCGCCTTCTCGCTGTTGAGCAGCAACTCATCGCAAATCAAAGAGAAGCCGTTTTTCATGCACACTTTGTGTTGAACAAGCCCGAACCGTTCCTCACCGTGCCCCCTGCGTCCGGTAGAATCCTTTCCAAGATTGTCGATTCACCGGACCCACCTCTGGCGAGGGAGGCAGAAGAGGAGATTGTGTTGGCCGGTCCACTCCTGGCGGAGGCGGAGTACGAAGTTGTCGACGACGACTCGGCTCAGAGCTGCAATCCGCAGCCCATCACTGAGTTAGACTTTGCCAGGAATGACACCAGGCCTGGCGCAGGTTGCGTCCTCGCGATTGAAGACAGCGACCCGATCAACGTGGTTGCTGAGGAACACCTCGTCATGGCCAACCAAGCGGCAGAGGGCATCACGCAGGAAGAACTCACCGCGGTCGCGGCTGAAGAGGAAATTACCCTCCTCAGTCAATTCGTGGAGCAGGATGATGATCCATATGAGAATGCCGACACCTACTCCTTGAAGAGAGCTGAAGTGGTCGCGCCTCCTTCTCCCGTGGTCGTCATCAGTGACCCCGACGCCCCTCAGCCGAGCGAGGCCGTTTCTCAGGCACCCCTTGTCCCCAAGGCAAAGCCGAGGCCTCCCACGCTGCCGCGTTGGGTTACTGCCGATCAGCTCCCCGATCTGCCGGATGATTACCGTTTCCTCACGGAGAACGCCCGGGTCTGCTTGTCGAAGAAGATGTCCTTCCTTGCCCGGGGATTCGCCAATCGGCGAGCGCCAGAAATGGCGGTCCACATCTCAGCCAGGGACAATTCTATTGAATGGTCCGAATTTTTCGAGAAGTTGGGAATGATGTGGAGAGGCCTCCGTGTGGAGCACGTGGTGGACGTCCTCAAATCCACTCACGACAAAGTGCGGTTCGAAGTCAAGGTTGTCATTAAACCCGACAGGGAGGTCCAGCTGCGTGCCTTTAGAGCGATTCAGGGGCACGACGGCATACTCCTCTCGGAAGAGACGGACGTGATGGCACTGAACACCCACTCGTACCATCTGTCCTCTCTTTGGCAACCCAATTTGGCAAACAGGCCCAGGGTGGGAACCACTGGTTACACCAGCGAGGCCTTCGAAAGCATGCCAAAGTTGGCTTACCACGGCACGTATCGTTGCTATCTGCACTCCATCGTTCGAGATGGTCTCATCCCGGGAGGGGTTGCTGCAGATGGAAGTGCCAGCCGTTACTTCGTGATGATGTCTCCCGTACCGGCGTGGCAGAGGGAGAGTCATGCAGGCGTTCGTGAAGATGCTGACATTGAATTTGTCATCGACCTGCAACTCGCAGCCCTGGAGGGCGTGCGGATCTTTAGATCCAAGGCAGATGCAATTCAGACACCTGACTGGATTTCCAACAGGTACATTGTTTACTGCTATGATCGCCACTCCCAGGTTCCCATCTGGCACAACCGTGTGTACGAGCTGCTCCGCGTCCGACTGCACAAGGCGTGCAAGGATGTTCACGACGGGCGGGAGCCGCGTCCAATCTTCGAGCAGGGCCATTTGGACGATTGGTCGGAGGAGGGTTGCTACCTTGACTACCTCGAAAGCCTCCAGACCAGGCTCAACTTCCATGAGTACCGGCACTACATCACTGACATGACAAGGCCGTACCAAATCGCCCATGAAGAGAACCTCACGGTTGAAGATGAGATCATCAGGCTCGAGGACCTCAAGTTCGCCGACAACGCACCGCGGCCCGAGCCACTGGCGGAAGCCAAGTGGGGTTCCACGCTCAAGGTGTGGTTCTCCGCAAAGGGCATCCGAGTGGATCGAAAGCACCGCTCCGAGCTCGACCATTTCATCGTCCAGGAGCTTGTTTCCTTTCCCTGGTTTTACTGCACCAGTTGCCGTAAACATTACATCGATGGAATGATTGAGTGCCAGTTCTGCGGCTCCAGAATCGCAGCTGAGAGTGACATGGCACATGTTGCCGAACCCAGCAAACGACGCCTGGAGTCCTCCCGGAAGGGACGGAACATCGACATCATGTCGATCGCCCCCCGGCCGGGGTTGGCAATGAACCGGCACCGTGCAGAGCGAGGAACGCGCGAAGCACAAGATCAAAGTCTCCCTGCAGCAGTACGCAGCAAATGCGTGAGCATGAGAAAATCGGCAATGAAGAGGGGAGGCCAGTCGATCGCTGACGCTCTCACCAATCCCCTCGACGCCTACAATTTTGCGTCCCGTGGTATGGGTATCACTTCATTGGCCCAGCTGGACATGTTCGCCCATTTGCACAATCCAGCACCCGGGGCTGATGCCAACGAGAGGAGAGCATTCGCTGGCACTCACCGGGCTGACGCCAGAGTCTCAATCGCCTATCGTCCGGGAGACGACCGAGTCTCATTGGATGAAGCTTTCTTTGTGGCCTTTCAGTCAAGGCTCTATCTCATTGATGAGATATCCATGATCATCTATGCCACCCAGCAGTCCCCGGAAGGGCGACAGAGACCCTTCACGATTCTCTCTTACGATGGTGACTTGTTCACACCAAGGGTAGGCACCGTCTCAGAAGTGATGGCGGAGGTCAGTCGTTTCTTCCAGGATCAACTTCCCCTGAGCGGAAGCCGTCAGGATCCTGCACCACGCCACGTGGACTTGGCTCGATCTCTCCGCATCCCTGACGGGTTTGCTTGCCTCGGTCAGACCCAATTGAATGAGCTGCTCCGCGATACCAGGTTTTACCAGCGGTATCTGCACTCCAACCGTGTCGAGCCGGAGTGGATTCGTCCCACGAGAGCGTCCTCACTCGGAATGATGCGACCTCCTCCTCCTCCCACAGCTGATCGCAGAAGCTCAGCGCCGGCCCGTCGCCCAGCGGAAGCTGAAGGCTACCGCCCACCGACAGCAAAGTACGGGCCTTCTATGGGAGCGAGGGAGCGCACGCCGTCAAGGGCTACATCGAGGGGCAGATCTCCAGGTCTCAGCTCAGCAATGCCTGCGAGGCCACCGCCACAGCGCAGGGCTTCGACCCCGCGGCCTCCGCCAGTGCGACGCCCGGGTTCCCCTGGAGAGGTGCGCACATCCCGCAGACGCGTGGATCCCACTGGACCAAGCATGACGGAAGGAGAATGGTTGGCCGAGAGGCGCAGCCGAGTCGATGTCGAGATTGGGAAAAGGCTCAGCATTCTTCAGGAACTCTTTGCTGACCTTCCAGAGCACTACCCTTTCGACCATGATGGTGATCTCATCGACCCGACGCGGACGCGCTCGAGCACCTGGACCCTTCTTGACGGGTACTACTGGGCCATGCTCAAGGCCCGGGATGCGCACTGGGTGTCGGAAGAAGAGGTGGTGAACGCCCTTCCTGCTTGGGGAAACCCAGGGGGGATCGTCGTCTACGACTACGACCACGTGTTGTGGTATCTCAGAGGATGGAAACACCACGTCACGAATCCACACACTGGTGTGCAAGAGAGGCGGTACTAAGGCCTAAAAGGAGGCATGGTCAGGGTTGCACACTCCACCCTGACGGGTCGGATTCGCCGACCCAGCACTTTTGAGCAAATTGTTTTCGTTCTTTGCATTTCTGATTCCATCAGCCTACGTGTGTGTGCCCGTGCGCCGCACTGCATCTCCTTCGCCGCTCTGACGAGCTGGCTACACAGTAGCAGTTGTAGTCAGTTTCTATCCTCAGGGTAACAGGTGAAGAGCACCTCCCTGACGGGCTGGATTTATTTTCAGCTGGTTATGTGAGGTGAAATTTCCTCAAGATGCAGTCGTTTTGCGTACTAGGTACGACTGTAGCGAACATCGTTTGTCTTTCCTCAACTTTTGACGCCTCTTACGTTGCACTAAGTTGCGCGGGGGGTGTTGTTACAGAAAGACATTTCATTACTTACCGTTGTTCGCTCATGGCTCAAGAAAAAGGCGTGTGCACGTTTCCCTAAATATTGGGGCTGTCTGCTGGTAACAATAGCCAAACTCAGTGGGTTATGGAGGGCTTTGAATAGCATTTCTAGAAGAATTACATAATAAGTAGACGTACTAAGTCCAAAGAGCTTCTCCCATTCCTTCTGCAACCAGAAACCCTACATCCTAATCCCTACACCCGACCTTGACCCTGTCTCGCAAGGAGCTCATCACCCTGTCAGGCTTCACGCCCGGTTCCCAGGACCTTAAAGAGGGTGCGTTACGGCTTAGGGTTTAGGATTTCCTGTTTAGACCCCCCCACCGATACCCTGGATGCCTGAATCTCTCGCCCCCCCTTTAACTCCTGTACCCTGCAATGCAGGTGCGTATTTCAACACCAATGTTGACGGCATGTAATCCCGACGCTGTTGCAACATAAAACTACAGCAGCCCTCAAATTCGGAACTCGTGAGTCATGACCCAAGACTTGTGAGTCATCACCCTCAAGCCATCTCAAGCCCAAAACCGGCAAACCCCTGCACCCATCCTACTACCTACACCCTAAAACCCAGACCACCTGCATCTCCTGAAGACTGGAACGCCACGACGCGAACCATGGTTTGCCTGTTTATGTGAGTATCGCCTCAAACAGGACGAGAACGGCTACACCCCGGTTATGGCAGCTGCCAGTTGGGGCCATGCAACTTGGTGCAAGGTTGTTTTTATTGTTTAGGGTTTAGGGGTTTTAGGGTTTAGTGGTTTTTAGGCTTTGGGGTTTTTAGGGCTTTGGGACCTTTGGGGGTTGGTTATGGTTTTTAGGGCGGTTAAGGTTTTTCAGTTGTTTTGGGTTTTAGGGTTTAAGGGTTTAGGGGTTTTAGGGCTTTTTAGGGTTTTAAGGGTTTTTAGGGTTTAAGTGTTTCGTTTTTGTTTAGGGTTTTTCGGGTTTGGTGTATTTGTGCGAGGCGTTTTTCAACATCGTGGATGCGTGCATCTGGGTTATATATATATATGTATGTATGTATATATATATATATATATTCATATATTGTGTTGTTGATGAACTTACGTGAAGTTCTCTTGGCAGTTGTTATATAAACATCTCAGCCAATGAGCAAGTTCAACATCAAAGTGACCGCGCGTAAGGCATAGGCTGACAGCTTGCTGTAAAGCTTGTCGACAAGCTGGATTGCGTTTGAATTTGGTTTCGTCCGCCAGTATGACCTGGTGACTTTAGCCAAGTCGTCCAGCCAAGTTGGTTTTGGTTATGATGTGCTACTGACGGTTAGGAATCTGGGATGTTTCAATGGTAAGGGCAACCTCAGGAGTGAGCTCATCCCTGTCACAATCTTTTTTACGTGCCAGGAGTACAATATAACCATCACCGGACGGTCGTAACCTACGGTATTGCTCATACATTATTAAGTGTTTAGGGTTTAGGGTGACTCGACCTTGAACCCCTAAGGTTGAACCCTAAACCCTAAACCCTAAACCCTAATTTTTAAAGGTCCTCTAAGGGAATTCAAAGGGCCATATTAGGAGTATGTCAAGGGAAACCTCTAGGGGTACAACCCTAGGGACACGAGTCTCAACCCCTTGAGCTTCAGGGCTTAGGGTTAGATGTTTTTGTTGAGGGCTAAACCCTAAACCCTCAACCCTAAACCCTAAACCCTAAACCCGCCAATCTCTGCACGCACCTTAGGTTGAGCTCCTGCGTGCCCTGCTGCAACGGGACGCGTCCGCAGCGAACGTGGCGGCCTCTTAGCTGAGCCGAAGCTGAGGATGTCAGACCCCAAGAACCCGAAGCCCTAAACCCTAAACCCTAAACCCTAAACTTTTAGGGCAGCAAAAAAGAGGAATTCCCATCTTTCCGTTTGTTTGTTGGGGGGTTCTGAAGCAAATCGCAGCCTGAGGGCTTGGGAGTTAGGATTTGGGGTGTGTAGAGCTGATAAACAATGGTTTGGGCAGTTTAGGATTGAGGGTTTAGGGTTTAGGGTTTAGGGTTTAGGGTTTAGGTTTTGGGTGTAAGATCCCGTGGGTTCATAAGGCCGCGATTGCCAGCAAGGAGACCCCCCTCAAAAAAAACCTATATACTTGGAGGTTCATGGGTACTTATAACCCCACTGATAATTGTAACCTACTTAGGGGACTTAAGGGGTTTTTCAGTACAGTTAGAATTGGTGTTATAAGTTCCCATGAACCTCCAAGTAGACCCTTACAACATACTGGGGGCGTCCACCTTGAGTTTAGGGTGTGGATTTCTTTGGGGCTTTTGTTAACCCTGGGACCCAGTTCGGCTATACCTACTAGATAAGAATGCTACTAAACCGTAGGTGACTGGGGTCCCAGGGTTATCTGAGGTTTAGAGTTTAGGGTTATGAGGTTTAGGGCTGTGAGGTTTAGGGTTTAGGGTTTAGGGTTTGGGGTTTGGGGTTTAGGGTTTGGGGTTATTTGGTTTAGGGTTTAGGTTTGGGGTTTGGGGTTTAGGGTTTAGGGTTTGGGGGTTGGGGGTTGGGGTTTGGGGTTATTCGGTTTAGGGGTTATTTGGGTCTCTCTAGCGCCTGCGTGCTAAGGACTCCGATGGCGACACGCCGCTGCACCACGTGGCGCAAGCGATCGAGCTGGAGGTGCCAGAAGACCTGGGACCCTGTTTACCTACTAAGTAGGGTTTAGGTTTTAGGGTTTAGGGTTTAGGGTTTAGGGTTTGGGGTTTAGGTTTAGGGTTTAGGGTTTGCCTACAGTTTGAAGGGTTATACCTACTCAATAGGGGTACTTTACTACGAAGCTGTAGTTAAATAGGACCCCAGGCATTCTCCATCTTTTTTTTTTTTTTTTTTGGCGGGGGGGGGGGGGGGGGGGGGGTGGGGTGGGGTGGGGTGGGGTTGGGTTGTAGGCGATTAGGGCATAGGGTTTAGAGTTTAGGAGTTGGGTTCAAGGGTTCGCGTTTCGGGTACCGTTTGTATTTCGTGCGTAGCGGCTTTAGGGTTTAGGGTTTGCGAGGATCCTATTCAGGAATAGTTTGGTATATGGTGGGTCTTCAAAAACTAGCTTGGTGTATAAACCTTATATATATATTACATATATAAATATATATCCCTAAACCCTTGAACCCTAAACTCACCCTCTCCACTGAGATGGACCAGATTCCAGATTGAGTCCGTACGCCCCATCGCCGACACATTGGCGCTCCGGCGCAGCCGGCCGATCTTTGAGTGCCCTGCACTTTCACGTGAACCTCTTGACCGAGAAATTGGCGACCCTTCTGGAGGCCATGAGAGCAAGGACAGAGACAGCCAGCGTCAATCTTCGACCCTAAACCCTAAACCCTAAACCCTAAACCAGTATGGAAAATATGAGGCCCCATGGCGGGTTCTCTGGGCAACTGGAGGCCTATTCGAGTGCCTTTGCTCTTCCAAATCTCGTACTGGTTTTCAGGGGAAAGTGAGTGAATGGGGTACCCTAAACCCTAAACCCTAAACCCTAAACCCTAAACCCTAAACCCTATCCCCCATACCCTAAGCCCTAAACCTTAAACCCTAAACCCCAGATTAATTAGCACCTTTTGAAGAGGCTAGACATTGAAAGGATTGAATAGGGACCACAAGCTTTCCGTGAGTCCATCCTAAGACAAGGCAAGCACCTTAAACTCCAAACCAAGGTTCGGGTTTAGGGTCTCAGGGTTCAGGGTTCAGGGTTTAAGGTTTAGGGTTTAGGGGGTTGTTCAGGGACACTTGGGAACAGTTTTAAGTTTTGGGTACTATAATTCCTAAGAAACAGCCAAAAGCTACAACTTTCAGGGTTCCAAGTTCAGTGAAGGTTTGGGTTTACGCTTTATATAGGGTTTAGGGTTTAGGGTTTAGGGTTTTAGGGTTTTAGGGTTTTAGGGTTTTGGGTATAGGCCAAAAGGTCGACGGCAAACTCAGGTCGGTAGTTTCCGTTATGTGCCCCAGGTATCTACTTGGAGGTTCATGGTAATTACTTGTTACCCTATTTGAGGCACCCAAGGGGCTGAAAGTTAAGGCACCTAAGGGGCTTATAGTTGGCTTATATTATAATGCCCTGAACCCTAAACCCTAAACCATGAACCTCCAAGTTGTCCCTATACCCTGAGTTCCCCTGACACGAGATCTATCGAGCTTGTCTAAGGTACTTCGCTCCTCAATTTGTCTTTAGAGACACTTCAAGCATTGAAAGGGGAGACGCTGGGCAAGAAAGCAGAAGATGATGAAAGCTATGTGCTCTCAGAGTTCCCCTTGGAGTTTCAGAACTACGTCAAGGGTCAGTCCGACAAGATTGACGCGGTGAAGCTGATGGTTCGTCAGGGCACTGACGTGGTGCAGGTTTCCCTGATGAATGCAACCGAGGAGGCGCTCAAGGAAATCCAGAACATCATGGGTAAGAAGTTCACAGGCAAGAAGGACACGTCAGAGGCTAGGTTGGCAACTGTCATTGACATTCTGCTCTGAAACCGTAAACCCTAAACCCTACTCCCCAAACCCTAAACCCTAAACCTTAAATTGAAACCCAAATCCCGACTTGACGACCGCACTCCACCGAACTTCTGGGCCCTTGTTGGCACCCTAAACTAAGCGGCATGTGGGGCTTTAGTGTTTAGGGTTTAGGGTTTACGGGCTATGGGTAAGGGATGTGGAGTTCGAGACCCGCCCAAAACGGACCAAACCCCAAATGTGTAGTTCTCTTATGAGGCGGGTACCAGTTTTAGGACCCCAAACAAGGACCCTGAATTAGAGAACGGGCCCTAAACCCTAAAACCTAAACCCTAAACCCTAAACCCTAAAACCCAAACCCTAGCAACGTGTAGATGCGGCAGGCGGAACAGGTGCGCCCTGTGTTAGAGCTCTTGCTCGCCCACGGCGCGGACGTGAACCGGAGGCAAAGTCGGGATGAGACGTTCAAGGTTTAGGGTTTTGGGTTTTGGGTTTTTGGGGTGTAGGTTTAGGGTTTAGGGGTTTAGGGCTTGGGGGTTTTAGGGTTCAGGGTTTAGTTGGCTTCTAATTTGGGTTGAGGGAATTTGGTTCGTAGGGTCCTGAGGGTTCAGGGCTTTGGGAATGAGATGCCTTGTTCACCCCTCTATGACCCCGGGTAAGGGATTACATAGGGACCCAAATTCCTAGTAAGAGCTAGAAACTAGCAAGTTATTGGAAGCTAAACTGGTTCATATGGGACCACCAAAAAAAAACATGCAAGGTTTAGAGTTTCGTGATTAGGGTTTGGGGCTAGGGTTTCGGGTTTGAATGTATCTACGGGGCTTTTTGGTTTTCGCAGCACCGGCATGGGCACATCCCTTGAACGCTGCTGTACTTCTAAACCCTAAACCCTAAACCCTAAACCCTAAACCCTAAACCCTAAACCCTAAACCCTTGCAAGACAATAAGCTGAGCCCTAAAGCGCTCATCTGGAGTGGGTTTCTCAACTCATGCACGCAAATCATGTGCTATCTGAATGCAAAGTCGACATCTTCCACTTTAGAAGCTACTGCAAGCTGTAGACCCTACATCCCAAACCCCGAGCAGTAAAGCCGAAACCCCAAACACCAACCCTCGACAGGCTTGGGTTTGAACATACTTGTAAGAGAATCTTACCCTCGATTCCGATATAATCCCTATACAGCCATAAAGAAGTGTAATGTACACACATATAAATAAATAAATAGATATTAACATATATATATATATATGTACATACAGGGCCGCCCCAAGCCCGAAACCCCTCGAACGAAAGACATTCTCGTTTCAGGAACACCGAGGGCAAGACCTGCCTCGATGCCTGTGCACAGGGCTCGCTGGTGGAGGGCGACGCGGAGGAGGGGCCGGGGTTTTAGGGTTTAGGGTTTAGGGTTCAGGGCTTCTTATGGGGTTTGGGGTTGAGGGTTGAGGGCTTGGGGCTTAGGGTTTGGGGTTTAGGCCCCAAATCGCCCGGCACCCCAGCCCTAAACCCTAAACTGAGTAACGTGTGCTTTTCTTGCGCTTTCAAAGATGGGGTTGAGGCCGGGTTTAGGGGTTTCGGGGTTTAGGGCAGTCAGCCGAAGACCCTGACTTATAAGCCCTTCGATTTCCCGAGTATGGTGACAAGTCGCGGCAGAGTGCAAATCTGATTGGGTGTAGGGTTTAGGGTGTAGGGTTTAGGGTTTTAGGGTTTAGGGTTTAGGGTGTACCAATGAACCTCCAAGTACAAGCCCCCCAACCCGAAGCCCTAGCCCCAAAGCTGAACTCTGAGGCCTTTCTGCCTATTTAGGGCTTGGGGTCTTTCCTAGTCCTTCACCTGTGGCAAACGGCAGAGTCGAAGCCCCCAAGCCTGAAATTCCTTTAAGCCCCAAGCCCCATAATGGAGCTTACGCCCCCAGAGGACCAAACCCAAAAGCTCAAAAGCGCTGTTTGAGCCTCAAACACTAAAGCCCTTAAGCCCTGAACCCCTCAAGCCCTCAAACCTAAGCCCTAAATCCCAACCAAACCCTGCACCCCAAGGCCTAAACCATAAACCCTAAACCCTAATCCCTAACGCTAAATAAACCTTAAACCTACCTGCCCGGCAGCTCCCTCTTTGCCCACCGCTCCAGAGAGCAGGATGCAAGTCGAGCTGAGAGTCTCACAATGCCTAGAGAAGCCTTGGCTGAGAATGCAGGGGAATGGAAAGACAAACGGTCCAAGGAGGAAAAATCGGCCGAGGACGACCGTGACACCCAGGGACCAGACGCAACTAACCCTAAACCCTAAACCCTAAACCCTAAACCCTAAACCCTAAACCCTACGCCCCTCTTGAAGGATATATGTGCAATAATCAGGGTACCGGCTACCGGCGTCGCTGAGAGGTGCTTCGGGCTTTGTAGGGTTTAGGGTTTAGGGTTTATCGGCCTTGAAGTTTATGGTTCAGGGTCTAGGGCTTAGGGTTCAGGGTTTAGGGTTTAGGGCTTAGGGTTAGTCAACCTAAAGCCCCCAAAATGCCGTTACAAGTTAACCCACTACTGAGCCCTTAGACCCTACTCCCACCAGCCCCTGCACCCCTGAAGCCAATGCAACAGAACATGAGCACTTCACAAGTTACCATGCGTTTCCCGCCTACCCCCCCCTCTATACTAACCCCCCCCCCCCCCCCCTCCGCCCTCTAGGTTCCCCCTTAAACAATAAAGGGGGGGAACCTTTGGGGGGGGGGGGGGGGGTAGTTCTTTTGACCCGAATTCAACCTCCAAACCCTGCTCCCTTTTTTGGGGAGCAGCGAACCCCAGTTGGACCCTAAACCCTAAGCCCTACACCCTTAACCCGAAACCCTAAACCCCGATCCTTTGGGGAAGCAAGTGCAGGGAAATTGGGGGCTTGCGAAGGACTGCGAGCCAGAGATCAACTTGGTCTTTTTGAAGACGATGGAAGAGCTTGGCGTCCAGGCCAGGGCCGCTAGGGTTTAGGGTTAGGGTTAGGGTCTAGGGTCTAGGGCCTAGGGCGTAGCTTCTAGGTTCTAGGGCTTTCGCTACCTAGATCCCGTGAAAAAGTTTGGGGGGGGGGGGGGGGGGGGGGTGCATTTTTGTGGGCACCTGGGGCACAATGAGGCTTCGGATCATGTTGTCAGGGCTCGGCAAGCCTGGCGCTGTCTTCCCAACATGAACCCCTTGGTAGCCCAGTGGTAACCCTTGTCCCTTTTTCTTGGTTTAAGCTTCCCTTAGAAACTAACCAACCAAAACAGGGTCTTTATCATAATGCGGTTATCATAATACGGTTACTGGGTACCAAAACCTTAAAACCGGGGTTATATAACCCAATACCAGTATTGCCATCCGAGTGTGCGAACCAAAAACCCTTTTAGGGTTCATGTGCGGGACCTTCGTCGCGATACCCGTTGCCCACACGTTATGTTTTTTCTATCCCCCCCCAAAAAAAAAAGCTAGTTTCGAGGTTCAGGGTCCCTCAACCCAAACTCTAACCCTAAACCCTAAACCCACCTGCCCAAAAAGTGGCAGAGTGGGGCCTTGGCAATCGTTGTGTCCTCTGAAGCTGGCTCCTTCGCCTTTGGGGATTAGGGATCGGGGTTTAGGGTTTATATAGGGTTTAGGGAGCATTTTGGGGTTTAGTGCTAAAGGACCTCAGGTACAACTTTATCAGGCCCCCCGGGGCCCATAAGGCAGTTGCTACATAGCCGCCTTATTCTACTAATTGCTTAAGAACCCCGAAAAACACAACAAATCTTCCTTATTAAGTGTAATATAGGGATGATGATTATAATTTCAATTCTTTCGAGGTTCTTAAGCAAATATTAGTATTGGGTAAGTATCTACTGTGGGGTCTGTGAATCCGTTGGGTTGATTCCTTTTCGTTTAGGGTTCAGGGTTTAGGGTTTAGGGGCTTAGGGAGAAGGGCTTAGGGTTTAGGAGTGCAGGTTTAGGGTTTGGGGTTTGGGGTTTAAGGGTGTAGGTGTTAGGGGTGTAGGGTTTAGGGTTTAGGGTTTAGGGTTTAGGGTTTAGGGGCAGCTGGCTGATTTGCCAAGGTCAGCTAGGCCAGCTTAAGCCCTGCTGGTCCGTGGCGCTCGCCGACTCCCCAGTCAAAGTGGCCCGGGTTCAGGCCCCTAAACCCTAAACCCTAAACCCTAAACCCTGAACCCTAAACCCTACACCCTGGCCCGGGTTCAGGCCTTGGGGTTGAGCGTTTTCGGGTCTCTAGGGTTTAGGGTTTGGGCGTTAGGGTTCTGTAGGGTTTAGAGGGTTCTGTAGGGTATATAGGGTTTTCCACATACATATATATATATATACACATATATATATATATATTGTTTTTTATTGCTTCTATTTATTCATTTCGTTTTTTTGTGTGTGTGTGATATTTTTCCCGGGATTTTGGGGTTTATAGGGTTTGGGGTGAGAGGGTATTCGGCTTACAAATCTCTGGGCCATCATGGTCCAGGCTTCTTTCAGCCGTGTTCTGCGGGGATCCCCGGTACAACCCGCGACCCTAATCAGCCCTATGCCCGAAACCCTAAACTTTAAAACCCTAAATATCGCAAAACCCTGAAAGCCCTTAACCCTACACCCTAAAACCCTGAAAGCCCAAAGCCCTAGAACCCTTAAACCCTAAAAAAACTCAAGCCCCAAGCCGCTTTAGCCTAGTTAATGAAACCCTAAACCCTAAACCCGATTATGGAGTTTCTGGGTTCCTATGGTCTTCGTGACAAAGTTGCTGAGAACTCGGAGCGGCTGGCGTGCGGCTTGAGGTGTTTTTGGTTCCAGGGTTTAGGGTTTGTGGTGTTTGTGGTAGCACCCGAAACCCTAAACCCGAAACCCTAAACCCTAAACCCCAAACCCTAAACCCTAAACCCTAAACGGCGTGCATGGGCTTAGCAGTGGAACGCTGGCGCCCCCATTCAGCCCGACACTGGTTGGGCTGTCTGACTCGATGGCGGCAGGTAGCGATGGAGAGGTTGTGTATGGGTACCTGGGTCATGGTTGCAAATCTTTTTTTTGGGTTTTATTAGGGTCTTTAGGGTTTAAGGGTCTTTAATTAGTGCCTGGGTCATGGTTGCAAATCATTTTTTTTGGGGTCGGGGTTTAGGGTTTAAGGTTTAGGGTGTAGGGTTTAGGCTTTGTTGCAAATCAATTTTTGGGGTTTATCAGGGTCTTTAGGGTTTAAGGGTCTTTAGTGTCTAGGGTTTATTGTTTAAGGATTTAGGGTGTAGGGTTTAGGCTTTGGGGCTTAGGGTTGTTGCAGATCTTTTGTTGGGTTCGGGGTTTAGGGTTTAAGGTTTAGGGTTTAGGGCTTTAGGGTTTAGGGTTGTTGCACATCAGTTTTAGGGTTCGGGGTTTAGGGTTTAAGGTTTGGGGTTGAGGCTTTCGGGTTTAGGGTTGTTGCACATCATTTTCTGGGACGCAGAGTAGGCCCGTACTCCGTTTGTTTTAGGGGGTTTAGGTGCCCTTATATATAATCCCCTTAAAACCAAAAGCGGTACCCTTTTTATTCCTAGGATACTCCTTGGTCTAGTTTCTATCAATACTCAAACCCAAAAAGGAATAAACAAATGACCCTTTTTTAAGTCGTACCCTGACAATGGTGCCAGGTTCATCCAACTTGCAGATCTGGAAGGCCTGCGGAAGTTCACGCCGTGCAATTTCAACTGGACCCAGCCGATGGGCGATGACAACCTGCTCCCCTTGATGATCGCAAGCTTTGAGCAGTTTGAGGATACCTCCGTGCATGCGAAGCGGCTGCAGATAGTTGAGTGGATGTTGCAATCAGGTGCAGATCCACGGCAGAAGCTGACGAATTCAGTCTACACGCGAAACCTGTGGAAGTGCGCCAACAAGGAGGCAACACTAGTGAAGGTTGACTACAACGGACACTCTACCATCTCGTTGGCTTTTGCCTGGCTGCGCGCACTCCGAGAACAAAAAGGTGGCGCCAACTGGAGCCACAACATAAAATACTTGGAAGGCGTCGTGGCTCTCATCTCGCGCACCGCGAGCTCAAAAGATGAGAAACTGGGTTGTGCTTTTGGAAATTGTTTGAAAACAATTTCCCTTCTTTCCTTATAAGGCAACCTATTCAGAAATAGTTTTTCAGAGATTTCCCTTCTTTCCTTATAAGGGAACCTATTCAGAACTAGTTTTTTCAGAGGGTTTAAAGACCAACCCAGGAAAGTCCCCGTGCATCACAGCGTCGTCAGTCTCTGGGAGTCCGTTCGCGAGATGACCTCAACGCCCACGGTCCCTTGGGGACCAAACGAGAACCCTAAAATTGGGGATCATATACTTGGGGGGTTTAGGGTTTAGGGCTAGGGTTTAGGGTTTTGGGGCCATCTACCCTGACTATTATCATTCCTAGGTAGATGAACCAGAAGCCCTTTTAGGGCTCATGTCGTCCCCAAGGTCATCGTCATCGTCGAAGCAGCGGATGGCGAGGTTTCAGCACACGACCACGTCCTCAAGGCGGCTTCCCCTGTGCTAAAAGCCATGCTCGAGTCCTCTATGCAGGAGTCTGGGGTTGCTTCGCACACCTCTTCAGAAACTTAAACCCTGAACCCTGAACCCTAAACCCTAAACCCTGAACCCTAAACCCTAGACCCTAAACCCTAGATTTGTGCTGTATATGACCTTCTACAGCCCTACCCCATCGACATGTTGCCGTGTCTAGGGACCCTTCAACTGCACGCCAGGAAGGCTCAAGCAAGCGTCTTCAGATCAGGGATGCGTCAAGCTCGGGTGTCTCTATCCCCCCCTTTTGGAATCATTTTTCTTATTTTTGTTTATATAAAACCCAAGAGGATGTTAAACATTATTTTTTCATTTCGGCTAAAAAGGGGAGATTTTTTATTTTCGTTTATACAAAACCCAAGAGGATGTTCAACATATTATTTTTCATTAAGGTTCTAAGGGGAGTATATATAAAACCCAAGAAGATATTATATAAACATAATATTTTCATTAAGGGCTCTAAGGGGAGTAGAGGTGTGACACTTCTGATGGACATGCTGTACACGGGCAACACCTACACGGATCCAGACTCCAGGTTGCTGTGAAGGAACCCCTTTGAGCTTCCCGACCATGTGTGTACATATATATATATACATATATGTCTAGGTATGTATGTTCCCATGTGTACAAAGTAGAAAAAAAGAAACAAAAGAAATAGAGAGAGAGAGAGAGTGAGCGCAACTTAGGTTGAGTTCCTTAAGGCAGCATCCCAGGACTTCAGTACTATGCTGGTTGCTTTGGACCTGGCCCACCGCTGGCAAGTGAATGGAGTTGTGGACATGCTGTCCCTTGGACCAAACGGGGTTTCCCAGATTAGAGTACCTTTCTAAGGGTCATACATCATTTATGGAAATGCCCAAGTGAACATAGCCCTATGCGAGTACAACCCAAGTCAAGGTATGCGAACCATAAACCCTAAGTTTTCATATCCTATACTACAAGCCCTAGTCCGTTTCTTTGTGTCCCCAAGGTCCGGTGCCTTGCTCGACATGATCAACGACAAAAGTTTCGTGGCCATTGCCGAAGCGGCAGTGCTCAAGGGCTTAGAGCCACTTCAGCGTGCCTGTGTCGCCTTCGCATCCACAAGTATCTGGGACCCGGAGTAGGGGCCCTGTTTCCGTTCTTTTCGGGTTTTAAACACCTTTAAACCGACAAGGCTCCCTGTCTATTCTTAGGTTTCCCTAAGCCCTAAACCCTCAACCCTAAACCCTAAACCTCTCGGGCCTAGGTGCCACTGTCCAGGCCATGCTCAGGACTCAGGCGGTTCCTGCGGCCGTCAGGAAGCTGCTGGGGAAGCCGGAGGCTGTGACGACTGAGCAGAGCAACACGTACCCTGGTAGCCCAGTGACCCTAAACCCTAAACCCTAAACCCTAAACCCTAAACCCTAAACCCTAAACCCTAGACCCTAAACCCTAAACCCTAAACCCTAAACCCTTGTTCTGTTGTTCTTGCTTTGCTTCAAGGTCCCCTTATCAAGTAACCAACCCCAGAAAGGGTACCCTTATTGTCATGGTTATTGGGCTACCAAGGTACAAGAAGCGGCGCTTTGGATAGCGGCTTCTTTCTGCTGCAAGTTAGAGCCATATGGAGACTGCAGGCGTGCACTCACTCAATGCTACTGGTCTATACCATAGCATGCTGAGTCGAAGCACCAAACATGATGTGGCACTGACTCGGGATGCGAAAAGTTGGAAGTCGCTAGGATCCACTCCAAAAAAGCCCGAAACCCTAAACCCTAAACCCTAGACCCTAAACCCTAAACCCTAAACCCTAAACCCTAAACCCTAAACCCTAAACCCTAAACCCTAAACCCTAAACCCTAAACCCTAAACCCTAACCCCGAAACCCTAACCCCTAAACCCTAAACCCTAAACCCTAAACCCTAAACCCTAAACCCTAAACCCTAAACCCTAAACCCTAAACCCAACCCTAAACCCTAAACCCTAAACCCCAACCCCAAACCTTAAACCGTAAACCCTGACAACTTTTCAGGGATATGGGGTTCACGGCGGTTGGGTTTTGGGCTTCGGGTTCTGGGAGGTTCCAGGGAAGAGCTCGCGGTCCCTAAATTCTAAACCCTAGACCCTGCACTCTAAACCCTAACCCCAAATCAAACCTAGAAGCTCTTTTGACTTAGTAAGTCTACTTAGCATCCCCTAGAAAGCCTTCTCTAATTTCCAGAACCCACCTTGCGAATCCTAGTCCCGGACGAGGAGTTGGCCCATATCCCTGTTTTAGGTTTTAGGTTCTGCTTTAAGTACCTTTAAACCAAGAAGGGCGCCCTTTTTCTTCCTATGTTACTCTTGGGTCTAGCAACCCTAAACCCTGAACCCTAAACCCTGGCCTAACCGCTAAATTCCCTAAACCCTTAGCCCGAAACCCTAAACCCTAAGTCCTAAGTCAACAGGGCCAAGAACCCTGCCTCGTAGGCTTGCCCCTGCACCCCTGTAAATTGTCGCTCCGGCGTCTTGAAACGTTTAGGGTTTAGGGTTTGGGGTTTGGGGTTCAGGGTTTGCGGCTTGGGTTAGGGGGTTTGGGTAGGGGAGGGTTTGGTGTTTGTGAGCTTAGGGTTTGTGCTCTGTGCAATTCCCAAACCTCGTAGCCCTTCGACGGTACGAGCATGCATCGGTTCGCCCCTTTGATGGTTGAAGGTTTACTGAGAGTATAGCTTGAGGCCTGAAAGTCCGAAACTCTAAGCCCTACAGCCCTAATCCTAAAACCCTAAATCCTAAAACCCTAAACCCTAAACCCTAAAACCCTATGCCCGGAAACCCTAAATTAACAAATCCCTAAACCCTAAGAATCCTAAGACCCGAAACCCAGCAACTCTGAGACCCTCTACCCTAAAACCCTAAAACCTAAACCCTGCAGCCCTAAACCTTGCAACCCTGAAGTTAGGGGTTAGGGTTTAGGGTTTAGCCTTCTCTGAAGAGACCCTGCCACGGGAACCTTGGTGCCTTAGTGTAGCTGAATGAGTACACTTGACGCTTTTTGGGATACGATAGTCCCCAAAAGAGCTTTTGGGCCGGGGGGGGGGGGGGGGGGCTTCTGAGCTCAGCAACCAAGATTTCAAGATCATAGGGGGAATCGGGCACCCAATGTCCCCCTGTAGACCCCCTTCAGGGATGATACAGGCTGCCTCGTTCCCTCCTTCCACCAGTAAGTGCAAGGGGCCAGATATGCAAGGTAGATTCCAGGAACCCTGCAGGAGTACAACCTTCGGAGTACGAGGGGGCATCCATTGAGCCCTAAACCCTAAACCCTAAACCCTAAACCCTAAACCCTAAACCCTAAACCCTAAACCCTAAACCCTAAACCCTAAACCAGAGACTCCCTGGTTTAGGGTCTAGGGTTTTGGGGGGAGAGGCTCCCTGCTGCCCCAGTAGAAGACAACCGCGAAGGGTCCATGTACCGAAGTAGTCGATACTTCGGCCTCAAAGAGTACTTTCTGTAGGAACTTTGGGGCTGAAGTAGCTCTAAACCCGAAACCCAAAACCCAAAACCCTAAACCCTAAACCCTAAACCCTAAACCCTAAACCCCCAGATGCAGAGTGTCCGAGAGGTCAGCTAAGCGGGTGGCAAAAAAAAAACCCAGATAGTAATGAGGTGCATGGACCCTTAGGGAACAAGAGCTGTCCAAAGACATCCAAGAGGCTTGAGGCTCCGCGTCACACGGGACCTGACATGCCTTTGGCACAAGCCGAAGCTCACATCCCGCGGTTTCGGGTTTCGGGTTTAGGGTTTAGGGGTTAGGGCTTGCTGTTTCAGGTTCAGGGTCTAGGGCTTAGGGTTTAAGGGTTTAGGGGTTAGGGTTGGGTATGCAGTGCTCGACAGCAACAGGCTAGGTAGTCGGACTGATGGAAGAAGGATGTGATGCGGCTGTGGTGGCTGGCTATATCAAGCTGCACAATCTCGAAGGCTTCTTAGAGACACTGTCGTCTTGGTCCATGTCTTTAAGTTTTGTGACACCCTCATACGAAGTGGTAGTCTTTTTCCGCGCCGCCCTCAGAAGTAGTGGTTGGCCTTGTTGACAGGGTGCCCTCGTTTCTTAGGGACTGGGCAGGTGACCGGTAACCTTTTTGGTCATATAGAACCCTACTCTATGAAAAAGGTTAACCTGTTTTGGGGGGGTAGGGTATTCAGCCCGTAAGGCTTGCAGGCGTTCACCTCAACTGACTTCGACTGGAACCAGACACTTGAAGGCGAAAGCTGCAGCTATGGTGGCCTACCGCCGCTGACGCTCGCGGTTGTTTACGATTGTGTTGCTTTGTCCGACGAGGAGGCGTCCGCGAGACTCGAAATCATCAAATGGCTTCTACAGTCAGGTGCAGATCCCAAACGCCAGATGCCGACGGATTTTGAGCCTGAACTTTGGGCTGAGTCCGACCACATGTCGAAAGAATCCACAAACATTTCAGTGAATTTCAAGGGTCACAGCGTGATTTCGCTGGCTTTTGCCTGGATAGAGCAGATGCGGGTTGGAAAGGGTGGTGCAGACTGGACAGCCGCCATCAAGTACTTGGAACGTGTTGTGGCACTTATCGCGACAGAAGCATCTGCCAAGCATCCGAAAGTTGCGGTGCAGAAGAGTGTAGTTGACCTGTGGGATTCGGTAAGGGAGATGTCCGCCACGTGCAACGCGACTAGGATGCCCAGCATCGTGCCCCAATGCCCCTGTCTTATCAGAGGTTAGGATCCACAGCCAACCCTCAAAAAATGTAACAATAAGACTGGGATCCTTTTCGTCCTTGAGTTAAAGGGCCCCCACTCAAGCCTAAACCCTGCCCCTGTAGAATCTCTGCAAAACTAAAAGTGCACACTTTTTTGGGGCTTATGAACTCAGCAACTTAGAAACCATCATAAGGTAGCCCTAAACCCTGAACCCCAAACCCCAAAAGGTAGTTTTGGAGTCCGCGGACGGCGAAGTAGCTGCCCATGACCTGATCCTTGCGGCTGCTTCTCCTGTGCTCAAGGCCATGTTGGAGTCCGCCATGAAGCTGGGCCGCCTTAGAGAGGGGGGGGGGGGGGGGGGGTAGGGTTTAGGGGGTTTAGGGTTTAGGGTTTAGGGTTAGGGTTAGGGTTAGGGTTTAGGGTTTAGGGTTTAGGGTTTAGGGTTTAGGGTTTAGGGTTTAGGGTTTAGGGTTTAGGGTTTAGGGTTTAGGGTTTAGGGTTTAGGGTTTAGGGTTTAGGGTTTAGGGTTTAGGGTGCACATCTCAAGCTGGGTCGCCTCTGGGGGTGGAGGGTTGAGGGTTTAGATTTCGGGAAGCGTCTGCACATTTATATCGCCCCCAAGCCCTAAACCCTAAACCCTAAACCCTAAGCCCACCAGACCAGAATAGCCCAGGAGGGAAGGGTCGAGCAAGCGCATTCAAGTCCCGGATTCTTCACAAGCGGGTGTGTCGCTGTTTTTGGACATGCTCTACACGGGCTCCACCTGGACCGACCCGGATTACAAGACTATGCTGGTTGCTTTGTGGTGCTTTACTGTGACTTTAGATTCTTAGCCTTTTTGGGTTCATTGGGTTTCTTCATCAGGCTGCCTGGCAAAAATGGATTTTATAGCTACCTCCTAAGTGCAGCCGAGGTTGCACTGGACCTAGCCCACCGCTGGCAAGTAAATGGAGTCGTCGACATGCTTTCGAGCGCCCTGCAAGAGACAATCTCTGCTGACAGCTTCGTGGCGATCGCCGAAGCAGCAGCGCTCAAGGGAATACAGCCACTTGGGGTGCTGTTTACAGGGTCTTTATAAATGAAGTTGCATTAATATACAGCTGCAGTGAATTCAATGTTCGTGTATGCTAGCTGAAGTTACGTAAGCTCTTCAACAGGCCTCTCCAGCGCGCTTGCAGACAGTTTGGGTCCTCCAATGCCAAAATCCAAGCCAGCCTCAAGAAGCGCACGCTTCCCAGGTCGGGGTTCCTTTTAAAAGGCAACCCTCCTCAAGACCCCAAGTAGTAAGTAGTGTCCCCTGAAAGGGATCTTCCAGAAAGGGACCCTAAAAACTGAACCCCCAAACTCAAAAACCCTAACCGTAAACCTTAATTTGTGGAAGCCCACAGGTCCGTGTTGAAACTCCTCGGGGTCCCTGAGACAGCCGCAGCGGAGGAAGGCAATAAGAAGCGGCGGCGAACCTTCTGAACTCGGAACCATCAAAGCTCGTGTCAACCCTCCTACTTGGAGGTTCAGGGTACTCACAACCCCCACTTCTAACTGTACTTATATGCCCCCCAAGTCCTCTAAGTAGTTTGTAAGGCTATAAGTACCGATGCACCTCCAAGTAAACCCTACAATGCCACGACCGAGAGCATGCTCCCGATTCCAGCAGGCTTCTAAACCCTCCAACACCTATGACCTACAAGCCCTACAAACCCTACAAGCCCTAAACCCTAAACCCTAAACCCTAAACCCTATCAGCCGAGCCTGAGACCACGATTCTTGCTTGAAGAAAACAACGTTGCGTGCACATCGCTGTGTTTCCCATTACCGGCTTCGCGCTGCCTCAGGGCAGCTTAAGGCGGGGTTAGGGTTTAGGGTTTAGGGTTTAGGGTCTAGGGTTTAGGGTTTAGGGTTTAGGTTTAGGGTTTAGGGTTTACTGTACGGTTTAGGGTTTCGGGTTTAGGGTGTAGGGTTTAGGGTTTACGGTGAGCTGGGTGTGTTTGGACTTGCTCAGTTCCACTGCTACACCCGAAGGCCCTACACTCTGCATCCAAAGTTGCTTGCACCGACGTACACACAGCCCTACTTCATGAACCGGGGCGGGGGGGGGGGGGGGGGAAGGTGGGGTGGCAAGGGAGGTTTATGGTGTGCTGAGTGCAAGGGGGCAGGGTGGGGGGGCGGGGGGGAGGGGGGTGTAAGGGCCCGCTTTCCCGAAAGTAAGGCCTTAATAAGCCCAAATTTCAGGTATGACCAGTGCAGAGGAAGGCACGTGTTAGCACAACCTTTGCCCATCTTGGGCGATAGTCCACTAGATTTCCTGGGTCTCCGTTGCAAGTCGCATCTGTCCTTGGGGACCACTTGAAACCCCAAATTGGGGGCATATGCCTATACTACTATGAGTCCTACTAAGGCACATGAACCCACCCTTTTAGGCTTCATTAGGTCCCCAAGGTCGGGGGTTTAGGGTTTAGGGTTTAGGTTTAGGGTTTAAGGTTTAGGGTTTAGGGTTTAGGGTTTAGGGTTTAGGGTTTAGGGTTTAGGCCTAAACCTGAAACTCCGAAACCTTTGTCCCCACGGCCACCAAGGTTGCTGCAGCCCTGAGTGTGCGTTTAGCAGTCAAACTCAGCGGCCTGCACGGCCTTGTAGGTCTTAGGGATGTTTAGGGTTTAGGGTTTAGGGTTTAGGGTTTAGGGTTTAGGGTTTAGGGTTTAGGGTTTAGGGTTTAGGGCTTGGGGTTTACGATCTGAAGATGCAAGCTGCCATGACGAGGTGGCTTCAGGATGTTTGGGGGGCCTAGAAAGTTGTGACCCTAAACCCTAAACCCTAAACCCTAAGGGTCCATGTACCTCATTATCGTATACTTGGGCCCCAAAGTCCTTATATAGGAGGTACTTCAAGGGCCAAGTATTCCCTATTTAGGTACATGGACCCTAAACCCTACACCCAAACCCTGAACCCGAAACCCTAAACTCTAAACCCTAAACCCTAAGAGTTTGACGCAAAGTTTGCCGACGCCGAAGGTGTCACCGAAGCGCGACATGGATGTTCCAAATGCAATGCAATGGCAGGTTTTAGGGTTTAGGGTTTAGGGTTTAGGGTTTAGGGTTGTCCCCTTAATCATCTTTGAGCCCTATTTTTCTTTTGAGCTTTGAAACCCTATACCTCAAGCCACAAACCCCCTTTAAACCCTAAGCCCCAAAATCTAATCCTCATGCTTAATAAACTAGCTCGTAAACTTGCTTCAGCACCCCAAACCCCCAAGCCCCAAAACCCCAAACCCCTAAATTCCCGAAAGTCCTTTTCAGAGTGTAGGATTGAGGATGAGCACCTCAAAAAAAAGCCCAAACTATCACCCCACAGCCCTCAAAACCCTGAAGCCCCCGAATCTCTTTAGCGGATGTCGGGTTGAGGACCCTCAGAACTGACATTGCTGAAATTCAGAACCCGCCGGAACCCTGACGACACGGAACCGGGGTTTAGTTTAGGGTCTAGGATTTAGGCTCAGGGTCAAACCCCTAAGCCCTAAACCCTAAACCAGGGTGGAGGGATGATTGGTTTAGGGCTTCGGGCCTGGGCCCTTTCCTGTTACCTCGGGTCCCCGGCTCCTATCAAATACCGAAAGCTAAGTCCGCTTGGCCCGAAGCTCAAAGCCGGCAGCCCTAAAATTCTGGGATACGCCCGAAACATCCCCGAGAACGCGCAGAACTCCAATGCCTAGGCCCTAAAACCCCACACCCTAAACTCCCCTAAACCCTAAACCCTGAACCCTGAACCGTGAACCCTAAACTGTATAAAAAAGAGCACTCAAACAAACACTAGAGCTTGCAAAGCCCTAGAGCTTAAGCGCCACCCTAACACCAAACCCTAAAACCCTAAACTCCGAAAACTCAAAAACCCTAAAGCACAAAAACCCTGAAACCCAAAACCCAAAAAACCCTGAAAACCGAAAGCCCTAGAGCTTAAGTGTCAGGCCGGCTCAGACGGAGCGCTCCGTCTTTGGGATCTTGGGCAAGGCGGCGGGACCCTGCTTAGTCTAGGGCTTTAGGTTTCAGGGTTTTTGGGTTTTAGGGTTTTTGGGTTTCAGGGTTTTTGTGTTTTAGGGTTTTTGCGTTTTCGGAGTTGAGGGTTTTAGGGTTTAGTGTTAGGGTAAAGGCTTCGGGTGTTCTCGGGAATACCAAGAATACAGATCCCACCTCATAACGGAGGAGCTTGCACAGGACACTCCAGCCTGCCTTATACTAGACTTCGGGGCTTAGGGCGTCAACACCCTTTACAAGCCCTAAAGTCAAGAAACCCTAAACCCCAAACCCCAAACCCTAAACCCTAAACCCTAAACCCTAAACCCTGAACCCTGAACCCTGAACTTCCGGGTTTCCCCACCTTAAAGCCCTGCGCAAGTAGAGCGAATTTTGTGACACCTTGACCTCCTTGTCAGGGTTACCCATACACCCTAAGCCGGGTTGAGGGTTTAGGGTTGAGGGTTTAGGGTTTAAGGTTTAGGGTTTAGGGTTTGGAAGTCCTTAAGAGGGGTACAAGAAGGGACCCTTAATCTTCTCCCTATAAACCCCCTACATATGCCTCCTATCGTCCCTACAGTCCTAGTTGGCCCCTACATAACCCCAGAGGCTCCTCAGAAGGGTCTCCTGCAGTCCCTTGAGAAGCCCTCAATCCCAAACCCTAAACCCTAAACCCTAAACCCTAAACCCTAAACCCTAAACCCTAAACCCTAAACCCTAAACCCCAGAGTAGGGGTTTCCGAATGTTGGGGGTACCTAATTGGGGGTCCTGCGGTAGCACTCCCATTATTTTGCATATGCGCCTCTATGAACTCCTATGTGCGTTTCTGATCTCCCCTGGGGGCCGACTCGCAATCGAAACCTGGGCCATGTTGTGCGGGAGGTGTAGGGATGCAGGGTTTTCGGGGCCTACTCCGGGGTTTAGGGTTTAGGGTTTAGGGTTTAGGGTTTAGGGTTTAGGGTTTAGGGTTTAGGGTTGAGGATGCGGTAGAGACCTCGCACACACAGACTCGCCGGTCGCGCCTTTGCTGCCATATCGGTGGCTCAGGGAGGTGCAGAAACATGCTAGGACCCAGACTAGGCCCTTCTTCCCTTTTCTTAGGGATTAAGTTCCCTCATAAGCCCCTGGAAACCAAGAAGCGCACCCCTTAGATTTTTCCTATGTTGCTCACACTTGGGTCCAGTATGTTGCACATGGGATTCTCACTGTGCCCAGATTCAATAGCTCGGGCTGCGGTTTAGGGTTTAGGGTTTAAGGTATCGGGCTATGGCACATGGCTGCGACATGTCCCCCACCCGCAAGGATTCCTGGGCACACATGAGCAGCGTTCATGCGTAGGAACATCTCGCCGTAGGAGCACGCCGCCGCATCTTCCGAAAACGCCACTGGCTCCTCAGAAGGATCTTCCTTGCCCCGAACTCTTAAAGTCTGAAGTGCAAATCCCAAACCCTGAAGTCCCACCCTAACCCTAAACCCTAAACCCTAAACACTACATCCCCTAAACGTCTGAACCACAACATGAGCGCAGTTCTTGAATTCAAACGGTCTTTAGACTCCCTAACATTTAGAGTTTAGGGTTTCGGGTTTAGGGTTTATGGTTTAGGGTTTGGGGACCCCAAGCCCGACATGCAAGGTACTACCGTGCTAGGTTTTGTTCAATGTCGTCTCAGGTTTCTGGGGACCTTTGGGGGTGTGTGCTAAAGATTTCTGGGGTTTATGGCATCTAGATGCTTCAAGGTTAAGGGGTTTAGGGACTAGGGTTTAGGCTTTAGGGTGGTTCTCTGGCAAGCTTCGCTCAAACTCGGTTTAGGGTGTGAGCAACCGTAGGGTTTTGAGAGCGTTCGTGGTGGAGATTCAGTTCGGAGGCTCAATATTCCTAAACCTAAACCCTAAACCCTAAACCCTAACCCCCTCGTGAGAGCCTGAGGGGAACGAGGCGGCGTTCTTTACTCCTTGTGTTGATGACGGTTAGGGCCCTTCGCTAATGTCCCTTAAGCCGGCACGTGTCCTCGAAAGCCGCATTCATTATAGGATTTAGGGTTTAGGGTTTAGGGTTTAGAGTTCTTAAGGGAGGGGGTTCAGAGGGGCGGGGAGGGGAAGGTACCTAGGGACAAGGTTCAGGTTGTACACAGGTTTTTAAATCCCATCTTACACAATGAATCAAGCACCCTCGACCTTTTGGCACTCTATCCTGGACGTACAGTAAACCTGCACGACAAACTGACTGAAGACTGAGGTGAACCTGCAACTGGACAAACCCTAAACCCTAAACCCTAAACCCTAAACCCCATACCCTAAACCCTAAACCCTAAACCCTTAGAAGCTGGAGAAGCCCTCAGCGCCTAAAGCCTTTGTTAAATCCCCGACCCGAGGCACCCAAAGCCCTAGATCCCCTACTAGAGCCCCGAAGTCCCCTAAGTTAGGGTTTAGGGTTTCGGGTTTCGGGTTTAGGGTTTAGGGTTTAG